TTCGAAAATGTAATTCTTATCTGGTCATCTTTGAGACGGTGGAAGGAATTCTGGGTATAGTGTATAATGATATTTCATTTTGAACAATAGGAAATAACTATACTTTCGTTCGTGTCCGATTGTACCATCCGCCATATTGCAGACGCCATATTGGAAATATTGAAACCCGAATACCGTACGTATCTAACGGAAGTCTAATATATTCTCAGTAAACTTAACATCGTGAATGAGCTAAATGATTTAACCAGGAAGCAAATAAAGTACCGGTTATCTAGAATATCGTCCCCACCGAGTTCAGGCCGGTTGAAGACGATTTTTGACGTGGACAGAAAATCGCATCGCGCAAATTTCAAACCAAGGCGGGCTGAGCCGCTCCCCGCGATTTCACGGATGCCGAGCGTGTCAGGGGCTCAATCGCGGAGTTAATCATACGCGACACAAGTAGGCCGACCCGCGTAAAAACAAACGATTCGCGCGCAGGGCCGATACACTATACTACATACATATAATCGCCAAGGTGCGCGCGCGCGCAGCGCTGCCGGCTCGTAAAGTATTCCAGCAAATCCGACATACATTCCAGCGCGTATCCCGCCTTACGTTTCACCTCGGCGTGGAATGCAGTCACCTTGCGGCAGGTGTACCGAACGTCCTCAAACGTTTCAACAGCGTACTTTCCCCGGTTCGAAGCCGAAGATTCGCCTCCGATCGGGTCGGTATCGATTCCCGATACTGCCGCGACTACGGAACGGTTATTAACCGGTTGTTACTGTACTGGATGCTTCGGAGCATAACTGGCTAATAAGAGCTCGGCAAAAGAAACGAAAGATATCGATAAACATGGGGTTGGTGAACCGATCGTTTCTCCAAGTGTTCAATTTTTTTAGGTTATAAAGTACCTTTTTTTTTTTTTTTTTTCAAATACCATAGAACGAGTTCAAGTCATAATTAGTCTTGAGATCGTAGTTAGAAAATTACGTGACGTTTAATGAATGGTGCTAAAGCTTTCAAATGATCGATATTTTGAACGGGTTTCGTATTTGAAACGTCCCGTCGAGAAACGTTACTCCATATTTCCGATTTGTTCCAGTACGGTGGAATCGCTTCCTTGTCGATTGTCCAAGAACGTGCGAGAAAATTCATAGTGGAGGACAGCTGAAAGGTACTTGGGACCCATTGATAGAGGGGAATCGATCGCGGTACAAAGATCCGTGAAAACGACCGATCAGACCGGATAATTCCCAGTTAGATATGCTTACAACCTCTCCACGGACTAACGGGTCCACGGAGCTTGTTTGCGCGACCTCTGAACGGTCATCTCGTGGCTAAATACGCGAGAGGCTTTCTCCGTGGCTTGGAATGCGGCCTCTCCCTCTGACCGGCTTTGCGGCTCGCTTCGAGGACAAGAGGTACATCGGCCTCTCCGGTTGTCCCTTCTCACCAGCGGCAGTTGGTTCCTCTGGACCGACACGGCCGGAAAATCCGGCTTTCCTCTGGCAAATAAGGGATCGATGTCTCTCTGGCTGGTCGCTATCAATATGGCCGTTTGGTCTTAGCTTCAATGAATTTTGCTAGATTATTGGCTTGCAGTAGTAGTCCTAGAAAGCTTGGTATTATTGGACAAGTGCAATGGTTTTGACGAGGTTTGGTGTTAACTTATTGACAATTATTTATTGCATCGGTTAAAAGGTCGTCATTGCTTTCTATGACCTTCTTCTATCATTTCGGTAGCATTTGGAGTCCTGTCTTTTGTTTTGATGAGGTTTGGTGTTAACTTATTGACAATTATTTATTGCATCGGTTAAAAGGTCGTCATTGCTTTCTATGACCTTCTTCTATCATTTCGGTAGCATTTGGACACCTGCCTTTTGCAAACGTTGCCTGATTTCTCATCAAAAAATGAAGGAATATAGCTTTCCAGGATAGTGGAGAATTCTGAGAGTTTTGAGAGGTGTAGAAAAATTTGATTAAGTGATATCTGGCAAACAGGGAGCTTCCATTCGATTCGGGAACGTTATTTTTATATGAACCCTTTTTTTTTGAAGGGTTCATAACATCTAGGGTAGGTAGTAATCGTCAAATGGTGAACAAAAGTCCTAATAAAGGTCTTAATAAAGTCACTAGCTTTAATCGAAACAAAAAATTGTACTTAAAATGGTGGAGCTGTTCGATGTCTAACAAGAAACGTCTTTTACTACTGATGTTTACCCGTCCTCGTACAACTGTCGTCAGATAGAACAAGTCGAAGAATAATAATTCTGTGTTCCGATTCAACTTAAATATGGAACAAAAAGTGAATGAACATGTATATCAGACTCATTTTCTAAAAGTAACACGAATACGCGAGCCAGAATGTTACACAAGGCACTACCCGCATTCCGGTTTCTATATGGAATAGATCGCTCTAAAACACTTCCATTCTACGATTAGTATGCGCATATTGCTCCAGTGAGCATTAAGCTGCAGATACGATACCTTGTGCGTGACTCAGTAATTAAGCGTTTTTAGCGCGACAGCTTGCGAAAAATCATCGAAACATAGAGCTGGTTAGAATCTTGGGGTTTGATCATATACCTATAGAAGTATGTCGGTGACGCGTGTGTGTGTGTGTGTGTGTGTGTGTGTAAGAGTTCGTTGAACTTGTCTAGTATGAATGAAACAAACTTAGAGGTAATGAAAGAAGGTTATACTGTAATTTGTACTTGTCGAAAAAGCATATGCTCATAATAGGAGATTCAATACTCATGAATCACAGAAATGTTTCTGCATTTATAACAAATTTTACATGCAAAATGCAGTAAAATGTAGATTTTAATGAAACTTAATGATATTTATTATATATTACTGTCAACATAATAAGACAATTGAGTAAAGTTCCTGGAGGTCACTATTGTTTAAATCCAATTCTGGCTAATTCAGAATTCAATATGGCGTCCTAAGATGTCTACAACTCGTCAAAGTAATCGACACTGATACACGCGTCATTTGTTCCCTGTCGATGCCCTCGATTTCCCTAGGCTGTCATTATAAAACAGACTATGTTGTAGCTCCGCTCCGATATCATTCAGCTTAATCGCTGGTCAAGTGTTTACGTCCAATTCTCACTAATTCGAAATCCAACATGGCGTCCAAGAGACTTACGACTCGTCGAAAGTATTTTGACCACCGATCCACGCGTCATTTGTTCCCTCTCGATGCCCTCGATTTTCCTAACCTGTTATTATAAAACAGACTATGTTGTAGCCACGCTCCGATATCATTCCGCTTAATGGCAGACCAGAGCGAAACGTTCGTGCCGAGCAGATTTGCTCGGCAATCTGTACACCGCCCAAGGGGCGAATTAACACTGTTCCGGCCCATGCTGCAGGCACCGCGTGCCAGAGCATTGCCCGCTTTCCATTCCGATCCGTGGCGAGATTTTGCTCTGTGCCTCTGCGCGATTTAAAAAGTACTTCGTTTCTAAACACACACGATCGGCAATATCGCGGCCGAGCTATGGTATCGAGCACGCTTATCGTATCCGCATGGTAGACTCGATTCAATGAAATTTAATTTCCGTTCGTCCGTGAATACCGATTCGTCGTGGAAGGCTGAATTGCAAAAATGTTCGCGACCAGAAACGCAAACTTTGTTGTGCAAGCGGCGAAATTTCGGGAGGCATCCTCCACGATGTATCAGTGGCGTGAATTCGCGGATAGCACGAAAACGATTTACATTCTATTCGTCCTGCGAACATATTCCGGGACCGGTTGTAGAAACGTCTACACTATCAAACGACCACCTGGTTTCGAGAACCTGAAAAGGACCTGTTAAAAACAATGGTTGTTCGTCCAGTAACCTGTCATCCAAGATGTCAAGGTCATGAATACATTTTTGTTTAACATACCAAGATCCTAATGATTCTTAAGGATTCAGCTATATGCTGACTGTTACACGAGCGTCAAGAATCATTTCCGTACCCACCACGTACGAGTGCACAGTTATGTTTTTCCATCCTTTCACAACACACTAGCATTTATTATTTTACGTACAGGAATCATAAAGCCAAGAATGTCGGTACTGTTTCTACTGGCACGGCCAACAGGTGCTACTCCGCGAAAACATTCTCCGCGCAACAACCATTCACTCCTAGACTTTTATTCGGAATTCACTTTTTTACTCCAAGTACAGAAAAAAAGTAGTCGTTATAAGAGCTAAATGTACAAGCTTATAACGAGAAAGGGTAATACAAGCAACTGTGATAAACAAAGCTAAATTATGGAAGCACACAAAACCGTTTCGACAGCTCCAACTTACGTATATGGTGACCTAAAGCCATAGATCACGAGACTATCTTGTTGGTCGAGGGGAAAGGGTCGAACTGAATTATGCACATGAACACCAGCCCTAGGCAATCCACGAAAATGCGCGCGCAGGATCGTCCAAGGCGAGAAACGGTGACCCGAATGTCGTGCGATCTCCCTGTCAGAGGGAGCCAGAGCGCAAGAAGAGACGTCAAGCTCCGTCGTGGCACGACGATGGAATGAAGAAGGAGGAAAGGGGTGGTGGGGGCAAGCAGAGAGACCAGGTAGAGGTATTCAGGCGAGCCAGGCCATGCCAGCCTCAAGAAAGCAGGCGAACAAGCGGTCGGTAATAGCGGAGAGGGGGGCAAACGTAAGGGGCCGCCGCGGCGGCGGGAGCGTAAAGTGAGTTTTCGCTCGCGGCTGCTTTGCAATGCCAGGTAGTCGAGGCGAGTCGAGCTGAGTCGAGGGAAGCCGAACTTTACCCAGTCAGTCTTGGACGTGTGGCCCCGTCGCATCCTTCTGCACAGGATCCCTCGTGCCCCGACAAACACGACCACCACCTGTCGAAACCAACCGATCTTATCTCTCTTTCTCTCTCTCTGCCGTTACCACGACACTCTGCTCCTCTCCACGGTACCATAACCTCGGCATGGCCGTGTTCTGAAGGCTCTCCGTCGGTCCAGTGAATCATCATCGGCCGTGTGGTTCACTGATCAATCGTACCGGGTCTTTACGATCTTTCGAGACAGAGAGGGAACTCGTTATCACTGGTGAATTGTTCTCCGATCAACGATGACGTAGTCGATTTAAAGACCGTATTTTCGATTACGGTGCATAGTGTGATTATTTTGTGTGTGCGTGTGAACACGGAGGATCAACCCGGGGAAGTTTTACCTACGGGGAAACGCGACGGCGACAACGCATTCAACAGGTAGGGGACCTTTTCTCTCTCGCTCGTTGGATAGTTTCGCGGCGGTGGATATACACACGAGATTCGACGGCTCAGGTTTTATTGGCGTTCTCTCGTATCTGGTTGGTCGAGGCTCCAGCTCTCCGCGCGGGTTTGTTTGTGTATATCGCGTTGCACCAACGGTGTTTACGATCTAGAAGTTGCATTCCGAGGACGATCACACAGAGGTTCGTGATCGTGATGTTGGGGACATTTGCGTCTCGTATGAGAAAATCGAAAGTGTGTATCGTATATAATCGTAGTATAAAATTAGAAAACTGTTTGCGGACGGATATAAACCGATGTAAACTAGTAAAACCGATATATGATTGGCTAATAACGGTCGCGGGGACGTTAAAGAGACCAGACACGATGCTAGTTTAGCCGATCGTGAGGAAGGTCGTTTTAGTTTTTTTTTCCTCCACCTCTTCTTTTTATACCGCTTCTTGTGCGCTTCCTGCATCCTCCTCGTCATACTTATAATTCTTCCAACACGTATCCTAATGTAATATCGTGTGTGGCGTAATAGCTCATTACACGTAGAATGCCGGTGAGAGGAAACTTAATGATACCAACGTCATCGGTGTTCCTCGCCTCTTCGTTTTTTTTCTTCTTAATTACGAACCAAGAAATTACACCTTTCGTGCGCGCCGCGTATAACACCGGCGGTCGTAACAGTGGTTCCGTCCATCCTCCCACATTCCGATTGTTTTTTTTTCTCTTTCTCTTCTGTTGTGTGGGACAGTTGCGGATTGTAACGTATACCCACCACAAGGGAAAATGACATATTATGTACGTGGTATGTTTATTACACAAAATAGGACATAAAAATTCTATAATCTGTAATAGTGTTATTTACTCGTGGAAAAAACGAACTAGGGGCGTTAAAAATTGATTTACTAGGAAGATATACCTTTCTATTGACCCCAACACACTACGACGATTAACCTTTGACTGGCGTGGCGGTAATTACGTTATCTAGCGGCTGAACCGAGAGCTAATATAACCTAGCTTTATCTCTACTCATATTTATTACTTGTTTTAGTCGTTTCGGTAACTCTACTAAATTGAGCTAAAAATAAATTTTTAGTGCTAGTATCTGTCTTGTATTCTAGCGGAAAAAAAAACATAATAAATAAGTTTCACAAAAAGGGTTCAGCTACCATTAATTTACCTTATCTCGGCCATCTCCTTTCTAAAATTCTCGAAAGTAAAAAAGCATTCTTATTTTCCCCCATTGTATCCGCGTTTGTCCACGCAGTTCACATTGTTCTCAATGTTATCCACTCGTCGAGGAAAATACTTATTCCCTTCCCCCGCTTCCTCCCTATCGTATTCCTATCGTGCGTTATTCCACTCGATCGCGTCGTTCCAATCGCGCGCTCTCGACATAATGCCACACGGTGATCGCGTAATATCCTTTTTCCCCCCTCGAGTGAAAACGCAACGATGCAGTGAGAACAAAACGAAAACTGAATGAAACGAGAGCCTCGTTTTCCACGGGACACCGTCGAACAAGAGAACCGTTTGCTTTTACGTCCGTGGTTTCTCTCTCTCTCTCTCTCTCGCTTCCCTTGGGCGAATTCTCATTTTCTCGTCGCCCCGCAAAGATATCCCATCAATGAGAACGATCAGTCAACGACGGCCGCTGGTTTAGAAACCGCCATGTTTCCCCCCCCCCCCTCTCAAGGCATTCGGAGAACCGTTTCCTCTCTTTCTGCTACACTTTTGCCATTGTTTTCACTCTCGACCCATTTCGATATGCCGCGGGTACGTATATGGGTATCAAGGTGATGCGGCTTTGTTTGGCGTCAATTTACTGTTCCCATTCGGACCCTTTATTCTCCACTGGATTCATGAAGATAGATGAACGCTCGTGGTTCTTAACCCTAATCCGTCCCTCATGTCCCTAGCTTAATTTGTCTCTCGGTGACAAATTGACCCAGTGGTGAAAAATTAATATAACGAAGAGACGAATAGCTAAATTTGCGAATTTTTTAAAATGAAAGTCACAGGGCCTCGGAGAAATTTATTTACACAATTTCTTTGGAGAAAAATGTTTCAATATTGAAACGAGGTACGGATGAAAGTTAAACACCGTTATACCTAATACGTGAAAAAAATTATTTATCAAGAAAAAAGTGATGGGATAAATAGGTTTTCATTTTTTTTATACTGACCACCTTGATTTGTCTTTTTGGAGTCCATAGCGCAGCATGTTTTGACGCTTGAGTAGGTTAGACCGATAAAAAAAAACGACGAAATCAGCGACTATAGGAGCACAGACGGTAAACAGAGGCGTTCGAGAAAGTTTTACTGTCCAACGTCGTGGCTACGTGGTTATTTTCTCACAGGAGTATTGTGAGAAACCGAGAGAGAACCTTATAAATACACATAAATGGATAAAAAAAGTATTTGCACACAGCTACTTTTTAAAAATGATTGTATGGATTCCTACACTATATTATATACATTTTCATCGTGTTGTTCTAGTTTAACTGTAATAGGCTTATAAATAAAGTACTACTTACTGTTCAGTACAGTTTAGCGTACAAATTACTGTTTTCATCCACTTACATGTATTGGTTCCACTGCATTTGGTAAAGAATCAAACTAATTTTAGATTACTAACGCAGTCATGAGTAATATGTATGTTTCAAACATCCAAATCTATCCAATAGACCCTGAATGAGTCAGAATTGACACAGGACTTTGTCATCCAGTAGAGATGTTTAGCTCTTTTTTTTTTCCATTTTATTACAGACACAATCTTGTGTCTCGAATCCCTTTGTTCTTTTTATGACTCAGTGATTGCCAGTCATTCACTGGGAACAGCCGAACCATTTAGAATCGTTTGCCGAAGGGGGTCGCGTGAGAGCGTAGAAGGTAGAAAACGTTTCTCAAGATCACGCATGGGATCGATCAACGGCATTTAGAGCGCGAATAATAAGCAAACGAGCGGGAACGTCATCGGAGACAACGACATCGGTGTTCACTGGAATGTCAACTCATTTTCCACGAGCCGTCGAAGGCGGATCGTTTTCCCTACGTATGTAGCCTGTGCCCGCCGCCTCCCACCACGTCGTTTCTGCTCTTACCTCACCTTCCTCCGCACGGTGTGTTGGGCCACTCAAGTCGGATCTCCACGCACAACTGAGCCGTTCATCGACACCGATAGAAATCGCCGTGTGCCCTCGGTTGGAATGTCAAGTAATCCCCACCCTTCACACTCCTCGCCACCTGTCGAAGGTTGTTTCCGGCATACCTGGTCAAGGAGCATTCAAAAATCAATGGAGAAAAAACCTTACTACTTCATACTAAAGTAAAATAAGATTCCAAGGTGTCCCTTTAGTCAAATTACCTGCTCTTATAAAGAACTATGTCAACAGCATCGATGGCAGAATACATCCACCTAACCTCAAACATACAGTATTTAACATTCAACATAATTCTACAATTATAATCACAATTATATAAGTACAGAATGTTCCGTAGTGTATACAATTCAAAGAATAACTCATAGACCAATATAGCGGCGAAAATGTTAAAATAATAAATAACACGAAATTTGCCAATGGAAGTTTGAATTCTACACCTTTAACTCGATCTTCATCACGACAGTTCGAGGATCCTAGTCGATTAATGGATCTTCTTGTTTTCATGAAAATACAAACGGAATGTCGGGGACGACGGTTGGCCCCCCTCCCCCCTCCCCGCCCGTGTCTGCGTTGCGCGTGCGCGATTAGCATCTCCCGAAGATCGTGCGCGCGAACCGTTGGCTTCTCGGAATTCCACGTCGCGTCGAAAAGCGTGTGTGTATAGAAAGTAACTTTCTGGTGAGATAGTATCTGTTTTTGCGAAGCCCTGGAATTCGTAGGAACCCCCCTCCCCCCAGTCAACGAGGTAACATTTTTCTATCGAGTTTTGAAACTCGCGAATGTGTTACTTCGTAATTTCGTAATGTGCGACGGCCCGTTTAAGAACAAGTGGAAGACCGTCGACGTCGCTAGAGATCGGCCGCGGTATCGGGATTCCGCAGAATGTCAGGTTTCCACGGAGCGATGAAAAAATACATACCCCGTACGCGCGCGGCGCGTTGCGAACTCGGCTTACTTCCCTTCGCTTCTAGTACTCCCACTAGCAGCCTCTCGACATATCGCCGTGAGTGAATTGCGCCTACCAGGTAGGGTCTCCGCGTACTTCGTCGATGAGGAGGCTAGGCTGAGGCCATTCTGAGGCCGCGTGGCTGAGGCCACGCTGGGATTCCTCGGAAGGAGATCCGCTCCCGGGTGTTTTGCAACCGATCTCTCTGCGTAGAAGCGGCGTTGTCGCAACCGTCCACGAATATGTTAATTTTCTATTTTAATCTTTCATCTAATGGCGTGTGTCCTTTAATTATAGACTCTCCACCTTCAGTTCTTCAACATTTTTTCTTGTCTGTAATAAATTGGACGTACTTCCAACACCATTTTTCGCCTCTGCATTTGGGGGCTGTGTATCTGTTGGTTTAATCATTTTTGCCGTCTGTCAGTAAGTTATTGCACGTAGACGCAGTAAGAATCGCTAGGACTGCAGTACATACAGTAAAATCTATGAAATATTCGACGGGTGTTTATAAATATTTTTCATATATAGTAAGCAGCGGCAGAAATGACAGTCTTCTTCATTAAAGAATACTAACACGTACTGTGCCCGTACACTTATGAACGGTAATGTACGTGTACTCCTAGAGTACAAATGAACTGAGTGAGTCCTTCGTAATGGAAACCGTTGTATGATGTACGTTATTATATTTTAACCTCCCGATAATGATCGAATAAAAATTATATAACACATTACATAAATGTGTAAAATATACCAATATTGAGCAATTTATAGATTTATACAATTTAACTACGTGCTTCATTACCTTCTCGTTATAATTCCTAAGGATTTCGTAAAAATTTCTAAAAAAAAAAAAACCGTGCATTCTTTTGTTTCACGCTCTCTGCGTCCACGGTGCTTTTGCAATGTTAATATTTTTCATACAACGAATTTGAAGCCGTCAAATTTCATGTATCGTGCTTGACAAGCCGCCAGTAATTATTCCGACAGAAACAAAATTATTCCGCAATCCGCTTATCTCGATACACACGCGTCCTTCGCCGTTGTCGTTTCAGATTTCTCAAGTGTCCATCGATTTCGTGTGTTTCGACCTTCGTTTCGGACGATTCTCCGAAAAGGGTCCCCGATTCTGTTTATCCTACCACGTATCGGAACCCTTGCCCCGCCTCTAAACCTTTTGTCCTTGTCGGGTCGATCCTTATTTCGTCGCTCGCTCACTCGCTTCCTTGCATCTCGATTGAGGAAGAAGCGAGAAAGACGGAAGTCCCGTGCGAGTTACGGTGTGTGTCGTCCTTCCGTTCGTAAAGGACCGTTATAACTCGCACGATGATTGATTGACGGCCGTATTCGCCGCGGTCCGTTCGGTATTTCACGACAGGGGGAATTTAAATCCGGCAAAATTATACGTTTCAGTGGCACGCTGTAATTTCAGTCCCCCGTCATTAATTCTTGTTGTTATTGCACCTTTTTTCTCAATGGGACAGCAAATCGTAATACATTCTTGCGATGACTACGCGGAAACGCCCGGTGAATGAACACTCGTAAGATTTTGCATCTATTAAAGTCGAACGTTAAATGATAAATAACACATGAATAAATATTTGCCACATGAAAATTAGATTTTTTAATATCTATACCTTTTTATAACGCACGCCTATTTACTATTTATCCTCGTCCTAAGTTACATAATCATAAAAAAACTGATAATATGTAATTCGTTGTTGTCGAATTAATCTAACTGTAGGCATATAATTTTTTACCTACTGAGTTTGTAGTTGCATAACAAGGAAATGTAATTAATATTTTCTTAGATGAAGTATATTACTGTTTTCTAGAACGAGGTTAAATTAATCAGATTACTAATTACCAGTGTTACATAACGTGTATTTCACTCTCTCAATGAACAATTACAAATAATAACATACGATTGATATTATGGTCGTATAGAATATTTTTAAGGATTTAGCAAATTTCGTTTGGAAATCGTGGTTTTAATACTCCAATCGGTCGAAACGAAATGTATTATCGCGAAATATCTACCAGGCAGCCATTCTGAAAATATCAAGAATTCCGTTCGCGTCCCCGATTAGCTGGAAATTTATGCAGGATTATAAACTTGTGCCGTGTAATAATTTATGCAATCTTAACCAATCGGATTACTAAAGAACAAGTTTTCACGAGGCTCGAAAACTGGCCTTGACTTCGTACAGTTGCACATATATCTCGGTGTACCCTAACTTTCAGTATTATCAGCATCAACATGGCGTCGTCCACGCGTATAGCAATAATATTTAAAACTTCATTCGATTTCTTTATCCCCAGACCAATAAGAAATAGCAATCGTCACCTTAAATTTTCTTTAATCGTCGGAACTAAATATTGTATATCTACAATTCGATATAGAATAGAATTTTCGAAAAAAAATTTGTTTCGCATTGTACTGGAGAATAGAATTTTCAAGAAATATCGTTTTTTACATTGTACAGAAGACTAGAATTTTCAAGAAATATTTTTTTATTACCATCAGTAAAGGCGTAAGCACCATTTTTAGGATCGACAAACCGAGCTAAGAATTCGCACGTTCTTCTTACAGACTGGCCTCACCGAGGCGGAAGGAGTTAATCAACGAAGGGGTGCCCATGCCGAGCGTCAGGAAAAATCAACGGGAGGGTCTCAGGCGTGCGAGAGGAAAATTCACAGAGGGAACAACCACCACGAGGAATTCAGTGAAAGAGTGGTGTTTGTGAGAGAGCGCGTGTGGACGACGCTGGACGATCGGGTAGAGCCAAGCGACGGGTTTCAGCTTGAAAATGTCATCGAAAACGTGTTCCGCGATAATGTCGGGACTGATCCTGCTGGTATTGACGGTGATATCATACAGAGAAGTGCAAGGACACGTCGCCTTGACTTTTCCGCGCGCGAGGAAATACGACTTGGACTTTCTGGACAACGCCAGGACGCCTGGACCATGTGGAATGCCTCGTGGTGAGTGTTTTCGGAACACCGGTTTAAAATATATTTGTTCGGGTTAAAAGGTTTCCAAGGAAAATAATTGCCTTGTACACACAATGTGCTATGATAATTGTTGGTCAGTTAGTCCATAGTCTCAGTATTGAAAAAGATCCCAAAGTTGAATCAAGAGTAAATTGTTCATTCATTGTCTTTATTTCCTTATCGATTTCTAATTCAGAGGTCTGATTGACATTTCAGTTGATTACTGTGTAGCAATTGGAACTATTGGGTCAATGTAGTGGTACAAAAAGTTATAATGCCACACTGATTTCATTCTTGGAGCTACTGTCCTATGTAAACCTTGGCCTCCTTCGAGCCAGCCTATAGCAAGGCTAAATTAGTTCATTATTAGTGAATGATAGACGTGTAGCGGCTGTTAATAAAATACTAGTCTATGATACAATACCATATCTGTGACACTGAATTGCTCTTAAGATAGAAACTGGACTACTATGCTAATGCTCCATTAGCAGTCCATGCACGTCCGTCAAACAATACATTAACCCGATAATAGAATTCACTCGGGTAAACACAGAGCACTATCTACCATGACATCCAATAATAGAGACCTGATCCAAAGACCCAATTACACCCTATTTGAAAATTATAGAACAACAATCACCAATATTCTTTATTCCCAACCGCCAGAAATACAGTAATTTCTAACCTGTTCCCTCCGCAAACGAACCCAACAGAAACACGCTCTGGTGTGTATACAGCGAAAGAGCGAGTACGGTGAAACTCGAGACGTCGCATCGCCGACGCGTAGAAAAAAAAAAACCAACGGACGAATCCCGTTCGATGGTGTTACCGGCGGAGCAGGTATATCCCCCGGATGTTACCGACTCGTCACACGATCCTTGGAACGCGAACCGGAAGCATACCGATGGAATTTTCGCGGTCGACTCGGGGGGGATAGCGTTCGTCTCGTTAGTCGATCGCCAGGGGGAATAGAGGGGGCGTTCTGGGGGGCCAGGGGGCGAGGGACTTCTATGGGAAAACGACATTAACACGAAGATACGTCTCGTCGTCCCGGTGGGGATAGCCCGCTAGTCTGATTCGAAGCGACTTTCACCCGACTCCGCGCGAAGGGAACTCGAACCTCAAGTGCCCGGGCATTACCTTCCACATCTTGCCTCCATTCCACGCGCGCGTACACACAGCGTGTACAATTTTTTTTTTTTTTTTTTTTTTTTTTTTTAATGCACGGGTCTCGTGGCTAGTGCTCGTCGGGCTTATGAAAGAACGTCACTGGAGGAGAATTTTTTTTAGCAATCTTTCTGGATTAGGAAGTTTTCAAAATGAACGTAGTCGTTATTTTAATCACCTACTGTACTGGAATAAAAACAGTTACGTTGTAAGTTTTGAATATGAAATTGTACTCGTCAGTTCTGTCGTCCGTGGCGCGAATTTTAAACGGACAGAACGAACCTTTAGTATAGCGTGTGTATACCAGAACTGTAAAGTTTCGAATAATATGATTCCAGTGGAACTAGAAGAGTGGATTGGGTGGATTGAGGAAAGTAGTTACAGTAATACTGCAAATTAGTTCCACTAGATGAGTGGACTAAGTGGATTGAGGAAAATCGTTTCATTAATATTGGAAATTATATTACGCAAAAACGTACTGTTTTGGTATACACACGATGTACTAAAGGTTCATTATGTCCGTTTAAAATTGGCGCCGCGGACGATGGAACTAAAAAATGTAATTTTATATTGGAAACTTTGTGGCGTATATCTCAGTGAATCGGGTGCTACAAATTGGATATTTGCTTTACATAGTACGGCATGATAACCATATTTATTCCAGTACACGTGTTACACTTATAATACTTCTTACAGAGTTACGACGGTTAGAAACTACAATTTTAAATGCATATTAACTGAAAATAATGACTACGTTAATTTCAGAAACTTTCTAATTAGTATCGTCGGTAAGATTGTGTAGACAATTTATTGCATTATTTATAAATAAGATATCATGTCTTTATATCTTATATCTGTTCAAATGTTCCAGTGGTTAATCACAACACGTCTACTGATACTGTGTAGCCAATTTTTGGGAATCTGAATTTACGGTTTTCTTTCATATAAATAGGTTAGAATCCAGTAGTATTAGAGACAATTTCACCAAGCAAGCGTATGGTAATGAAATCTCCAGTTTAAGATTTACGATGTTCCATGTGAATTTATGGGTTACCATTACCATATCCGTCGTGAGGAATTTTGGATGCGACATCGTCAAACTGACGTATATCGTAAATCACTTCAACGGTACACAAAGAACTTTGATCATTAGCTCATACACTAAAAGCATCCTGGAGAAAGCAATTAATTATTGAAAAAAATTAATCACTTCGTTTAAGTGGAAGAAGTACCGCTCCTAACAAGTTTTCGGTTTGGAGGTTATCAGATACCTTTCGTTCTCAACCCCCCCCCCTCTCTTTTTCCTCCCATTGGATGCTGGGACCTATTAACTAACCACCGCTTCTTAATTTCCACATTCTCTGTAATCTCACCATATATCACTCAAGAACCAGTACTAAGCCCTCCTGAACACAAGCTGGGACGTAAACCATTCTCATGCGTTGTAAAAAGCGCCGCGTGGTCTCCCTCGGACACATCCACCTGTGTCACCCGAAACCAGAAGTACAAACACGCAGGCGTGCGTTCACACGCACAAACGCCAAAACAGTGCGTCCGTGAAAACGTCGTCGGGTATATACTATCATTTTAATTTTTTTTACGGTCCTCCGAATCGGACTTCACCGCGTCGACGTATCTCGGTGTATATATTCACTCGTGATTTAACTTAACCCTTTGCACACCGAGATCTCTTTTAATCCGATCAGCTGAAGTCTGAAAAAGATCTTTTTATCATGCTGATTCTGTAAATTACAACTGCTGCCTTCTAAGTTATATTTGACATAAAAATACGAGATATGACTGAAATGTTTTGTCCAGATTCGAGTGAAAAATAAACGATGCACTTTATTTAACCCGGGACATTAAGTTCCAGCGGAGGCTATGAGTATAGTGTCATTGTGGAAAAATAGTAGGAAGAATGAAGGTTTAGATGGTTAATCGTCGTCCTATGGCTGGGTTATCGGTGACCCGTCAATGAACAGAGTCACAAAATCGTTTGCGCACAACGATGAAGCAATATATCGAAAAATGTGTACATATGCCTGAGATCTTCTGACGGAAATTTATGAGACTCGACGTCAGCAGTAGAGTATTAAATAAAACGAAAACGATGTAATAAAAGAGTTTTAATAATTTTCTATTTGAATTATTATTTTTGTTTATTTTGAATTTCTTTCATTTCTTCAAGATTGCGCGGAACGAAGTGCCTTGCTTTCTTTTCACGAGAGGAGAGTAGGGGGCAGTAATCCTTAAAAGGCAGGATCGGTCGCGGAACGTGCACTCTCTCGGCCACTTCCGGAAACTAATTGAACCCTGTGCCTCTTTCGATGTTTTCCGGAACCCTGTCCGATACACGATATAAACACCGATGTAGATCATTATCGCGATCCCACCCGGTGAATCATAAACGTGAACTGCCCCTCCACCCTTCCACTTTTTAGGTTATGTAGGAATTCGTTTTCGTAACGACCGATTGTAATTCGCGATATGGATGCATATTTTCCCCGATGCTTTTTTCCATTCCCGGTGATTTACACCGCTTTGTTTCCGTGCAATTGATTTCCGCGACGAGGAAACGGAATTTATGAAGACAGACAATCGGTGGAGAACAATTTGTGGTCTTCAACCGGTTCGTTTATCTGTTATTCGGAATGATCTCTATGCAAATTTGACTTCTTCAAGGTCGATCTATGTTCTTCGACGAAGGTTTTGCTATTGTAAAAATAATGTAAAATAAAGTTTGTATAATATTTATGTGCTAGTATTAACATAATAGTACAGGAAATAGATCTCATAGTTTAAATTTCATTTTCATGAATTAGCGTATCTAAAACTGAATTTGTATAAATATCGGCAGTCTGATTATTGTCTTATATATATTTTTAATTAAAACCGACCGGATGACGACTAGAATCTGTCTGGATGATTTCATTAATTTGTTCATGGAAGAAAATAAAGACAATTGGAATTGATTTCCTCTGGTGTAATATGATTCTTATGTTTTTGATGTAATACGTATGGGAGTGTATCCCCCCAGGCAAAGTGAACTTGCATTTAAGCATGTTTCCGGTGATTGTTATAAATTATCGTGTCTTGTTATCGCAATGAATATTAACATCTCATTGTTTATAATTTGCCTCGTCTGAATCGATGAGCCTGAGAAATTACAAATTTCCGTTTCTCGGAGCCATTTCACGCATACGATGTATTTATAAAGACATTGTTGCGTGGAACGGTGTTGTGTAATAATAATCTATATTTTCGTGTCTCAGGCGATGTCAAGACTACATTACTGTCCGGGAGTAACTTCAACGTCACGTGGCACCTGGCTTATCCTCATCAAGTAAGTAGACGCGTCTATTTTATTTTATTTTTTTTTTTTAAATAAAACTAAATCTATAAGAAAATCGAATTTGTATATAGAAATACACATAGTACTGTAATATTATTTGTTTTCCATCGCATGTATTGTATCCTAAAACCAAATTTATATCAATTTTGTTGTAATGTCCCACGATTTTTCCGACACCCTGTATATACGTCTTCTGCAGTTCAGGGTTAAAGACGAATAAAATCAATCTTGCGGAGGATACTACCGCAACAAACGTGAATAGAATATTACGTTACTACTAATATGAATACCAAAATGAGGTTATATTCAAGAATCGTTTGACAAATGGATAAAAAGATAGAGACTCACTGCACAGGCGTTGTGGAAACACAAATGACGAGTTAACATGTCTTCTCGCGGTTAGCAGGTTAGTCTCGTGACGGGAAACAGATTACGACGGTGGTTTCGGAATCTCGTTAATTCTCCTTCACTTTTTCGCGTTCAACGCCACTTTTACCGGAGCGCGATAATTGAATACCCCCGTCGTCGGTGAATTTCGTTAGCCAGTGGTGAAAAAAGAAAGCTGCGCGCAAATCGTTCCAGCGCGACCGGTCGGTAATGCCTCTGCGTGTACACACGCGTGCTTCCCGCCGTGTCCGGCACTGAAAGCGCGTGCGTTAACGTTTGTTCGCTCAGCCACGCGGAAAAACAGCCTTAGGAAAACTCGTACCTGGGCCGATTTGGAAAAACGAACCACACGATCAGTTACACGAGAATATCGAACATAACCCTGCCCGTGTTTTATTATTTCGTGTTGAAACTTTCTCCGTTGGAGGAAAGTGTTTGCATCTTTCAACCTGATCCTCCGTATTCCTGTTTGTAATTTGTGCGCAGAGCAAAAAGGTTGATTTCATTAATGATTACTAGACTGCGGGAAGTTTATGCAAATTTATAGTATTGGACAGTAATAGAGACAGAAAAAACAAAGTTGCACAGAATTTTGTTTCTATACTATACTATGTTAATAAAAATCCACAATCCAGAGTTGAGCAAAATATAATTTGTATTGTCAATTTAGTATAGTAGTTAATTACAATTTAATTGTAATTTTAATTGTCTTGCAATTATATTGCAATTATGTACGTTGTAATTAGATTACATTTTGCCAACTCTGCCACTAATGATTACCATTGATTTTCTCAATACACCACCAATAGAATTCGATTGATAAATTTTTGGTCAAACAATCTCAGATCACCCTTATCACACTGCTCTTGTGCGACAGAACTGTGATCACAATCAGTGTTCAACGTGACAGCAACGTTACGAGTATATAAGATTTTGCGACTTTAAGAAATTCCCGTTGCAATAATTAACCTAAGTACTAATCATTGGGTAATTGAATTCTATGAGCCAGAGATTGTATCAATTAAAACTCCTCGTAGCCAAAGAGCATCCCTAACCTAAACACAAAGTGGAGAGTGACTACGGTCGAAGCCCAAAGGGCATTCATATTCTCCGCGAGGCGTCGCCGTCAGTACCCGAAGTCATCGTGAAAGACATCACGAATTTGTCCCGCACGTGGTCTACGAAAGGGAAAGAAAAGAACAGAGGCTGAGCTCAGCCTACGCTTGCTTGGACGTCGCTCAAGGTGACGCGAGTTGAATAATTCAGAAGCGAAGCTCGGCATGCGTTGTCGTTCGTGGTATACGCTCTCTCGCGTGTTGTGTATACCTTACGTAGGTAGGTAGGTCGGTACGAAGGTGGTAAAGGGATAGTGTCGCTTTGCATGTGGATGCGTATATACAGGGGCCCCTGGAGAGCCCTGGCTGGTGTTGCTCGGTGGAACACATCGGTATGTCGGGTACCGTAACTCGGCTGTCGCAAATGACTCGTATAGAAGCCAAACCTCTCTCGGGGGGCCCCGTTGCTCGGAGAAGTAATCCAACCGTGAAGAAAGGATTCGAATTGTTTTGCGGAATTCGCCGAAGGATTGCGTCATAAACTAGCCGAGGATAACACTGGAGGAGTCGAAGTTTAAAACAGCTACGTAAGCTGTTCAAAATAGATTCCATACATTTGGGCGCATTCTTATAATCATCACGTATATCTTCACCGACGACCAAACTCGGCTTCCACTAGGGGAAAAAGTAATGTAGGATTTAACATTTATTTTACTACCTAGAATAAATTTGCCAAATGGTAGAAGACTTTTGTTCGTCGGTGTTCAACTAATTAATGTTTTGCTAATAAGAATTTACTATAAAATCTTTTTTATGGAATTGTTTAGTTTGGCTTTTGAATGATTCATACTTGTGACGATGTGGGTAGCTATCGTGTTAAGCTCAATCCTCTCGAACGAACGTGATCTCAAACCTGCTTTCAAATCCATTGGGAACCGATCCGAGCATTCAGCTTCCTTCTCGAGAAAACGTGTGTAATCAACTTCACGCCGTACCTCTGCATACATGTTCCTCGTGGTCGTTTCTTCTCTTCGGTAACTGGTTTTAAACGACGTGGTCGTAGCCTATAAGGGGCTCGCGAATTCTGTACACGAAAATATCCCGGGCATGAGAAAAATTCGACAATAACACTTGTGGCATTGCAGGTGTGCGCCGCCGTGCGAAGCAGTACCACTCCGCGAACCGCCGTTTCCCACTCTCCTTCCCGCCGTTCCCGAGCGCGGCGGCGCAATCGTCGTTGGAAAACACATTTTAAACTCTCTCGCCGAGATTTTTCGACGGGGGGACTTTCGTCAAAAGTGGCAAGCTTCTACAGTGAACGGATTCCATTCTGTTGGAAAATGCGTATCCCCGTGCATTGCACTTTATAATATGGCCACTGTGACATATTTCGTATGTTAGGAAATACTAGACGTTTCGTCCTTACATTCGAAGAATTCGACAAAAAAAAAGACTGTCGAAAGTCTATAATAAAATTTATTCTCCATTTTTGTTTCATTATCGCAACGAGGAGAATCATCCTTATTTGGACAGCCAAGTGAGGATTCCTCGTGAAGTATTACTATATTCTTGTAGTATTACCGAATGCATTAACAATGTATGAATTAAGTAAAACTGATTTTCTCAATAAAAGTTCTCTTAACGTCCACAATCTTTTAATGCGTCTTACAACTGTCCTTCAAGGAAGTTGACGGTCTGAAAGTAATTATACACCTTATCTTTCATTGGAAGAAACATTGTGCAGCTCCGTGTCGCGAAACGTGACGCGAAAAAGGAACGCGATATTGTTCCCAAGCGCAACTCGAATTAATAACGGTTCTCTTTTTCGTCGAATCTTTTTATTCAGTGGTGTTGGAATCAACACCGACTCTGACTCTGACGGGCATCGCTGTCATTACGTTGCGACCTGTTCCCCGTCGTCGATCCTTCCGTGGCGACATTCTCTCTTCCTATTTCCGATTCGGTGGACAACGTTTCATAAAGCGATGATTTCGTAATGGGGCAGAATTGCGACTCCTCCCGGGAAGATACTTTACGCAAGGGATGTTCGATTCCGTTTCGATATTTCGGAAGATCGATCTTTTGAATCGATTCTTTGCTGCTCGATATTTCTGTGGATCGACTCCAAAAATCAGGAATCGATTTTTCTTTCTCCAATTTCTTTTATTCAAATTGTACTTGATTATTTAATTATGTATGTAATTTTAAAAAATTACAATCTATAGCATAAGAGGACAATATATATGTAGGTCCATAAAATGTATACTTAAAAAAATTGATATATATAAAATTATATGTATGTTACATTAACATATTATATAAATACTAAATACCTATATGTCTAATATGTTAATGTACTTATTATTAATAGTAATTTCTTACGATTTTTAGATCTATTTTTCGATTTTAATTTTTTCAGACAATTGGTCAAATGAATCGAACATCCGTAGCTTACGCTTCTTCCTTTTTTTTTTTTCGTCGGCGTGACCGATCGAACGTAAGGCCAGTTTCTATGTCACGGATTCCGCGATAAGTTCGCTCGATACCGCTATCCGAGCCACGATCGATGTCTCAACGTCCTCTCTTGACCGTTTCTCGTTTCCGACGCGAGCGTAGCGAAAGAAACCGCGCGCGCGCGCACGGAAGTTCACTCATTGGAACTAAAACGATCCCGTCCGTAACTTGGCTGCGTTTCCAAACACAACGGCATTACACTCGATCCTGTTAACCGCACAAAATATGCGCTGGATGCATTACGATCTGTACAAATTATTTTCAATTCTAATTAAATTTCCGATTTCTCCTAATAGTTTCTTCTATATGACCGCCATTTTGAAAATAACCGACCTTATCGAATTTTTTGCGTTATATACATCGAATATTTGTAATTTTAAATATTCTGTCACGCAACGAATTATCGTCTTTAATCGAATGTTAGTGGTGATAAAATACAATGAAATTATCGATTTGTTGTTGACCGTTTCGTTTGTTGTTTATGCTTTCAGGGAGGATTTCGATTGCAGATCCTCGACGGCCTCGATAGGCCGCTGGTAGATTTAACCCCCGTGACGAAGACAAGCGAGTTCGTGGAAGATGACGCCACGTGAGTTTAATAAGAAGATAAATGTTATTTCTTTTTCGTTGACGTAGTTTTCTCGATTTATTACGGTCGTACGAAAGAGAAACGTAATTTACTGAATTCCAGGGCGCAGAGTTACTCCGTGCAATTACCCCAGAATTTCACGTGCACGGACTGTACGATACGGCTTCTGCGAGAGGCCGAGGAGTGGGGCGCGAGCTACAGATTTTGGTCGTGTGCCGATATCGATGTAAATATAATCAATTCATCGTTACACTAAAATTCCAATTTGTTATGAATAGTATACAGGGGGTGACACAAAAAAGGGTTCATAACATCCAGGGTAGATAGTACTCGCCAGATGATGAAAAAAAGGTCCTAATAAACACGGCTCGTAAGATTTAATATTTTCAAAGTTCCGAACACTTTTTTTATATCACCCTGTATATATATTTTGCAAAGTATATTTGACTTTCGAGTGTACTTGAGTACTGATCTATAATTTCTTTCCGTCAGATCACCGAACGAAAAACCTACAGGGAAGATTGCAGCGGCCACGGCCGATATCTTTTGGGTCGATGCAGATGCGATCGTCTGTATCATGGCGCCAGATGCGAATTTAAGGAGGAATGCCTGGACGACTCGGACTGCGGTATTCAGGGCACGTGCATCGACAATGGCGGCACGACCGCGCCCACCAAGCACTGCTACTGCAACATAGGCTGGTTCGGGCCTGGTTGCGCGAAGAGTTAGTTTCAATTGCTGAGGATTTCAATGCGTCTTAGAATACCCATGCTAGAGCAACTTTTTTGCAACCGTGTATTCAGAGTTGTTTACTCGTTAAATAATCGTCACGATATGTACACCATATTTCTTCCTTTTAACCCTTATCTGTCACTTGCGTCAATTCGACACATTTTTCTACTAAGAAAAATTGGGTTATTCTATTGTAAATTTAACTGAGGCTCCGTGACTTTTATTTGAAAGTATTTGCAAATTTAACTCCGTTTGTCCCTTCATTATATCAATTTTCTTTACCGCTGTCTCAATTTTTTAAGTGTACAAATTGACTCGTGTCGCCTAGAATTAATCACTGACTCAAAGCCGTTCGAGAGGGCTATGAATTAATTTGTACACCTAATAACACTAACACCGAGGGACAAATCCATTTGGGAAAATGAGGAGGGACGGGTGAGGGTTAAGTCGCTAATGGAGATAGTACAACGTCAAGAAGTAAATCTAAAAGCTTTTCCTATCAACTTCTATGGTCACACACTATGTTTGTAAAACAAGTTTGAGTTGATAATAAATATTGACTTGTTATTCATTAACTTCATGACGTATTTCAGAATCTCCAATCAAGACAATCGACGTGGACCTCGACGCCTATACGATGAAGAAGTTCTCAGACAACTTCACCTTCTACTGGCGTATACTGAAGGAAAGCAAAGAGCTCGAGGGCGTTATTGTGGTAAATGGGACGAGTTGGGTTGGCGTTGGCTGGCGGCCAAACGATCTAACTCCCGCGTGTCGAGCTTTCCCTGAGATCCGTGAAAAACCAAAGGGAGAACCGCTCCCGCAACCGGAACCGAAAGCTGAACCGGAGCCCGAATCGGAGCCGAAGGCCGAACCGAAACCAGAACCCGAGCCTGAACCCGAACCCGAGTTCGGAACGGAACGGTCCGGTGCTAAGAGGAGATCGGCCAAAGCACACGATGTCGCGCTGTTGTCCGCGACTCCTCCATCCGACGCTGACGTCACTGTGCAGACCAGCGTGACTTACCGCGTCAGTACGAAGCAAGGTGAGAACACCCGTTTTTATCCGTTGCTAACACCTTGACACTACCACGTCACCCACAATGTGAAGTGGTTTCATTATACGTTATCAGCCAGACGACTGTGCAAACAATCGTCTAGAGGGTTCCTAACGTGACTTAAGTTACAAATAACTACAGTGGACCCTAACGATATTACCACTAAGCATATTGCCATGCGAGGCACTTCCCCTGCACACACGTATATAATTATGAAAACAGCCAGTCATTTAAATGATGTATTTTCTATTTGTATAGGACGCAAAAAGAGGTCTCCAGATTCGGCAGTGTCCTCTGCAAATGGTATGTATTAAAAAGGTTTTTAAAAAACACTAATTAAAGACACCCATTGCCTCCCGTAATTATACAAGTAGCAACATGTAGTTTGGTTTCCAAATAAGTAGTAGTATTTTTGTTGGCGTCCCTTATCTCGTCGGAGACATTACGCACTAGGTGATGGTACGTAAGAGGTATAAGCAAGTAGGTAGTTGCACGACGATCGATGCTTTGTTGCACAGGGGAACCCGTCGCCGAGCCGAGCACTGTCGACAGCACCAACACCACGCCCGAACCTATATCAGAGCCAAAGTCCGAACCAGAGCCTAAATCCGAACCAGAACCCAAGTCCGAACCAGAACCCAAATCCGAACCAGAACCCAAGTCTGAACCAGAACCCAAATCCGAGCCAGAACCCAAGTCTGAACCAGAACCCAAATCCGAACCAGAACCCAAATCCGAACCAGAACCCAAGTCTGAACCAGAACCCAAATCCGAGCCAGAACCCAAGTCTGAACCAGAACCCAAATCCGAACCAGAACCCAAATCCGAGCCAGAGCCACAGTCTGAACCAGAACCCAAATCCGAGCCAGAGCCACAGTCTGAACCAGAACCAAAATCTGAAGCAGAGCTGATATCTGTTTCGAAACGCGTTTCCAAACTCGAGTCAAGGTCTCAACTAAAATCAGTTTCGAAACCTCGACCAAGAGCCTATACAGAGCCCAGCTCTGAACCGGAACCAAAGTCAGAGCCTGAACCCAAGTCGGAACCTGAACCGAAATCAGAGCCAGAACCCAAATCCGAACCTGAACCCAAATCTGAACCTGAGCCCAAATCAGAACCCGAACCCAAATCTGAACCCGAACCCAAATCTGAACCTGAACCCAAGTCAGAACCCGAACCCAAATCCGAGCCTGAGCCCAAGTCAGAACCCGAACCGAAATCTGAGCCTGAACCTAAATCTGAACCAGAACCCAAGTCAGAACCTGAACCTAAATCAGAACCAGAACCAAAGTCCGAACCGGAACCCAGTTCCGAACCGGAGCCAAAGTCTGAACCGGAACCCAACTCCGAGCCACATCCAAAGTCAGAGTCGGAGCCAAAGTCTGAACCGGAGCCGATTTCGGGCCCAAAGTCGAGCGCCACAAAAGGTAACCAAGCTAATAAGGCGAATCGACGCTTGTTTCCTCGTATACTGACACTCGCTTTAATATTTACGTAGGGTTGCAAGGAGCATTTTAATCGATCCACGAATATTTTCTCGAAACTACTATTTGACTATAATTTTCACTGATATTATTGAAATTATTATTGATATGATCTGATACATATCTGTATATAACAGTACAACTTTTAAACGGTAGTGTATCAACTAATTCGCGCATGTATTTTTATCACTGATCATTTCAATGACAATTTCTTCTGGATCGATTCAAATGGGACACCCTGTATATAGCCGATATTGATCGACATGATTCACACCGCAGAACCGTTTCCTTATCGTATTAGAGGCCCAAGTGATTTTTATTTGTTATTAATTTTCTAGCATCTGGTACTTTCATTCGTGTCCGATACGAGTGAAACGCCATATGTATCGACGATAATATATCCAGCAGTACTTGTAGCAGATAGGAAGTAATTTAAATTCCATTAATAACGTATTCACGTAATCAGTAGTGGTATCTACTAACACGACGTACAAATACATTTCCCTCGTGGGATATACGTAATCGTAGAATGTTTAATAAGTCGAAGTTGTCTGTATTCATTTGGTACCAGCTTCCTTTATCGCTTTACGCATAATATCCATAGTAATGGTTCCGTGACAGAGCAGTTGCACTTGGCACCTGTATAGAACACTTGTAGAGTATACATGTATTGAAATTTCACTTATCCTTTATGTTCCATAAAAAAAGAATCTATACACCATGACCGTAGGCTGTGAATTTGATCTTTACTATCCAGTTCTTAGAATATTAAATATATACAGGGTGTACCAAAAGAAAGAGTACACCAGATAAACTTGGAAGGATTTCAAGGATCTACAACACTTTTGTTACACCCTGTACAATACTCTAAACAATTTTTAAATCACCCAGTATATTCTTCACTTCCAGTCAAATTCATTATCGTTCATTATCACGATCAGACACTTTCCGATCCGAATTCACCAAGTATTCTCTCGTTATAAGCTCCTCGACGGTCCCCTAAATGTCTAGTACACATAACCAGAGAATACTACTGTGTTAAATATTTTAAGTCAGCTTTTATCGTACGTTGAGAAAACTTAACCGTGTTCCACGCCCCGATCACGATCATCGATCACTTAATCGCTCGGGGTGGCACGGTTTTCTCCGGCTTATTTTTTATCTGACCTGGTTTTGCAATGATCGAAGCGATCCTGCCTGGACCGGTGCACAAATACACACCGAAACACGACTTCAATCCGATGGACTGCACCGATATAATAATCGGTTCGGCGCGGGGCAACAGTCACCGTATCGGCGATTACTATACCAGGGACAGATCGACGCCCAGAAAGGACGACTATTGGGGTGGCAGGGACACGCTGACTGCCGCGATGGGCTACGAACGCGACGGCGTCACCACGATCCTATTCAGACGGAAACTAACGGCGAACGAGCCGACCGATCACGAAATAGTGGAAAGCAATATGCACGTGATATGGGCCAAGGGGCAAGAACCGGGGAAGTATGTTCACAATCCCCCCAGTGGGATCGAGAAGACGAAAGTCAGCGTGAAGGATTTCTACAAGGCCGACGAACTGAAGTACCACGGACACGGATCCCAGCGTGGAGCTCTGACGCTTAATTTCTTCGGTAATTCATTATGGTTTTTGGATCTTTTGTCTATTAACGCACCAACGTTTCAACGATAGTTCAATATTAATCAGCATTTTTGTTCGATATTTCGCAGATGAAAAGAACAGACAGAAGATGGCCAGTGGCGTTGCAACCATGCAGACTTCAAACTGTAGGGGTGAATGGCATTATCCTAGACACTGTTTGCCTGAGAATGGTACCTGCGAATACTCCATACAATGGACATATAAAAGCCGAAAGGTAGTGTGCAATCTTAATTCTATCGACATTGGGATATTAAAAAGAATGCTAACTTGAATGAGAATATTTTTTCTGCAGGATCAGTTGTCATTCGTCATTTCTACCACCCACACGAACTCTTGGACCGGCGTTGGATTCTCTGACGACGATAAAATGGTATTGTTTCTTGTGATGGAGTAGTGAACAATTTTGCTTTCACATTTGGTTAGTAGCTTAGAAGTAATTGTTCTTCTTTTGTTCTTTTTAAAGTCGCAAACAGACGCTGTATTGGGCTGGGTCGACGATAAATCGGGCCGAGCTTTCTTAATGGACACTTGGATCAGCGGATACAATGCACCTTTACTCGATCCGTCTCAAGACATTTATAATACAGGCGGCAGTAAAGCGGACGGCGTGACCACTCTGAGGTTCTCACGGAAACGGATAACGAAAGACAATAGAGACCTCTCTTTCACCGACGAACGTTGTTTGTACATGATGTATCCAGTTAAGGGTGGTATATTCAACGCCGTCAGCAAGAAAATACGTAAACACGATGCTGTACCTGTTGTCTCATCGGAAAGGATATGCATAAAGTCTTGTAGCAACGAAGGTGATTGCGTCGCTTAACGTTACGATTGACACGCCCGTTAATTTATCATTATTATTAAGGAAAAAAATTGTTTCAATATTGTAGAACTCGAAGACATGACCACACCTGCGCCTCCGAGGCTACACTACAACGTCGAAGTTAAACTGGTGAACTTAGGTGACGGTTTCACAGCACCCACACCAGGCAGTTCGGACTTTGAGGTTATCTCCAACACAATAGCAGACAGCTTTGGTCCAGTTCTCGAGAACCTACCGGGCTATTATCAGATTCGTCTCAACGAGTTGCAAAAGTGTGTTTCATAGATAATTGTTGTGCCAGTGAGTCCAGAGTTAATCTCGGTATTCTAATTGTTCTGTACTTTCGTTTCAGGGATGAAGAACAACAGAACGGCGTTATCGCGCGGATGGATCTGATCTTGGACAAGAACGAAGTTAAGGGTAGATCGCTGAAGCCATTGGACACCAGTGCAGCCGCGGAAAAGGCATTGAAAGAAGCTTTAGTGAACGGAAAAGTCGGTGCGCTCAGCGTCGATCCGCAGTACTTGATCATTCGAGCTCCTCGAGGTGTGTAGAAAACACATTTTTGGGTTCAGAATCATGGGAAGACCTCTGTACCATCTTGAATCAACTTGTTAAATTCCCTATCATTCATCACTTGGACCGTTTTTCTTGTAATATTATATTTAATTCCAACATAATATATATATATATTAAGTACATAAGTAATATAAGGCATCGATCCAACATGGACATATTTTTTCTTCTTTTTTTTGGTCACCAGTAAACGACTTAAGTGGAGAAGACACGGACGAAGGATCGCCATTTACGTCGGACCTGTTCCTCGATCAGACCAAGCTGTACATCGTTGTCGGTTGCGTGGCTGCGCTGCTCGCCCTGGTCCTGTTACAAGCAAGCTGTACCCTCTACAGATCATCGAAGAGACGCACAACGAAGGTACCAATCGGTCCAACCGTATCAAACATTTTTCTCTTTTTATGTAGTTTCTTCTCTTCACTGTGTCTCTATGCTCGCGTCCTTCGATTACTTCTGCCCCCAATTTCTCTTTCTTTCTTTGTATTGTGTGTGCATCTAACTCTTTTTTTTATAACGATCGTAGTGTTGTGTTGTGCGGGGGTACGGCCTAAGAGCAATGCTGATTCTGAACCAGTATATCAGAACTTAACGAAGCCGAATCCGTTTTCCTCTTGGACCCGACCAGTAGTAGAGTTTTCTAAACACTTTCGAGACAGCTCTCTATCAAAGAAAATCGCATCTGTTCTCCAGTCAAGTTCTGTGTTATTAATTGAATGATGTTTATAAGTGGTAACCAAGGCGACCGAGTGTTATATCAGATTTCTTGTTGGTATAGTTTTGTTTGACGGTTGCTCAAATATATATAAACGCGTAGCAATAGTTCTTTTATTTAATTTCTGGTTCAAATCATAATGGACAGACCTTTACGACTGGACACACGTACACACACACACACATTGAACTGTAGATAACCGCTTCCCCCGTGAACTCTCAACCCGTCTCACATCTTGTGAACTCGGATACGATCTTCTGCTTCGCTTGTGTTGCATGAATCCGCGCTCTCCGCGACCATCACGTGGTAAAGAGGGTGTACTCGCTGCCTCTGGCTTCCTCCGACGCTCCCAACCCGATTCATCGCACGAACGCGACGCGGTATCATCGACAAAACGGCGATCACCACCATCACCATCACCATCACCATCATCTTCGGCATCATCACCAACACGCTCAGTACGAAATGCAACGTCCTAATCCCAGCTGGTAGAACTTCACACTCGGTACACGATCGACGCGCTAATATTACTCATCGTACGCTCGTTTGCTCACTAATCCAGGTATATTCTATACTGGTTCTCTTGCTATCTATCTCTGTCACTCATCTTTCTCTCTCATACACTCTCTCTCTCTATTTCGTTTCCCTCGTTTTAAGCCTTTTGAACCCGTTTTAGACGCGAGTAGAGTGTACACTCTTTTTTTTAATCAGATTCTACAAGCTACCAGGTTGATACACGTGACTGAGACCAGTAGCATAGTCACAAGGACATTCAACTTGTTCAACATCTTGTAGTGTTTTATGTTAAGTGTCAAGGAAACGTAACTTCTAGATGATATAGATCGTGAATTTTTCAGAAAGGTAGAACAATTATGAAAACCTCGTTAAAATGAACTCGTCATTTCAGAGACTATGCTAATGATTGCACTCACGGTTTTTTTCCAATCTGTGGTATATATAAAACGAATAGGTGTCCCTTATACTTATTGGACCATCCTGTATATGAAAAATGAATTGAACCTACTTGCAGCCAATAGCACACTTCGATCGTGTAAACCAAAAAACTAATTCCCATTTCAGGATCGCCTGATCGCCAGCAACGCTTGGAAGGACTACGCATCCGGCGCGAACACGAACTTCGCGTTCGAGGCGTTCGAGACGGAGGAAAAGGCGCCACCGCCGCCGGTCTCTAGTTTGCCGCGTCACAGAGAGATCACGCATGGGAACGGTGTAGCCGGTACCGACCAGGTCGAGGGTCCCAATCGAATGGTAGGGCCCCGAGCAACGTACAGTCTACCACGAGCACCGGGCTCGAGGCATACGGCGCCGATTCAGCCCGGTTATTACACCCAGGATCGAAGGGATCATTATCAACGATCGAAGAACAATATGCACAACAGCCCGGCAGGTGGTGGTGGTGGTGGTGGTGGCGTCTCGACCCAACCGAATCAGCCGGATTTCTACTTCATGCCCAGCCAACGTAAATACAGTGGCGAGGTCGTGCGCGTGTACGTGGATTACGGGAGCCAAGCAACAAAATAGAAGAGACTATATATATATATATATGCGATGATGATGATAACGCCGCGTCTGTTAGTGCTCTAACCTCTTTCTCTCTCTCCGTGTCCCCCTCTCTTCTCTGCTTTCGAATCCCGCGAACGGACAATTTGTTTTACCCCTCGCTTCAGTGAAGCGACTATGTGTGTACATAAAACGCCTGTTAAGTGGACCTGGAGAAAGAAAAGGGAATGGACGACCCCACACTCCTCTCGACACGAGCCCTCCCGCCGGTGCTGCCCTCTATCCCGATGGAGGAACATTCACTTTCGCCGTCGATCGTATACATAGATTCACGCTAACGTCGCACACGGGCCGTTCTTTTTGTTCTTTTTGAAAACGTCACCGTTTTCATCGCGAAAGGTATCCAGAAATGGCGCTTACGACCAAAGAGTTATCAATAAGGCGCGCCCTCGATTGCGCGGGGGCGGTTCCGGTAAACGAAAACGCGCACGAGAGAGAGAAAAATATATACAATGGACTCTCGATATATTGCCGCGGTCGGGGCTGTGGGAGAGAAAATTCTCAGAAACGGCAATGCGCCGAGAGCCCTCTTCAGGCGAAGCTCTGTTGTCATAGTCCCGGCGTCTGCGCACTTGTGTGTATGAAAGTACGTGTGGAGGGGGAAGTACCTCGCGCGGCAATATAGCAAGATGCAATATGTCAAGAGTTCACTGTACTCCCATGTAAGCTCGCTCGATGGCGTTTTAGCAACGTACGACCCCGGACCAGTACACCCGCGTGAGCGCTCAAACAGAATTACACTGTACTTACAAGCATGGACGTGTTTGAGCAATAAAACGTTTGTACATTTTTCTTTTCTTTAATTGAACGCGACATGCTTCCCCGTTTTCTTGGTTCAGCTGGTCGACGAACGTTTTGTTTTTTTTTTTAACACGTTCGCTGCGGAACCATGCACACGCCATATGGCCTTTCCGAATTCATTGACGGTACACGCGGGGACGCCGCCAATTGACGTTCTCCGAAGTGCTCTTTATGTTGCGTTTACTATATCTGTTCTGTACGGTTTAAGTAATAAATAAATTACCATGTAATGTAATGACAGAATCGAATGATATTTATGCAGGGAATATTGACTATTGCAATACAGTAAATCATCGATGAGTGTTCGATGGTTCCTCGGCACTGAGTGTTCAGACGTTATCCCCACCACTGGGTGGTTCCTCCGTGGAACCATTGAAGCACCCAGTGATGAGGCCGACGTCTGAATACTTAGTGCTGAGGAGCCTTCGAACTCTCATCAAAGATTTACTGTACACGGTTTGTAGTGGAGTAGAATGACCTTGAACGGTTAAAATCTTTTTGCTGAAAAGACGAAATGACCTACGAGACTCTACCTGTGGCCACAGAACTGGTAATTCTTTTTAGTGGGCGGGGGGGGGGCAGTTGTTTTCTATTTACGTCATTTTTAGGACAGCGTCTTTGAGTCTACAGTTTCAAACGGAATTCCTTCTGATACCGCGAAATGGACAGTGAACGGTCGTGAAGCGGGCACGTCCGAAGAGGCACAGTTTTAAAAATATCTTTAGATTTAGGACTCGCGTAACTGTTTACGAATAAATCATATCTCTCTTGTTCGAGGAACTGAAGCTCGCGTTGTCGGTAGCGGATGTAGCACCGTTAACAAATGGAAAAAAAAATAGAAATACAAGGAAACTAAAAATGCGAATTCTCATAGCTGTAATTGTCCTATTAGTGTCAACAATAGTACTGATAAACGATAGTGGGTGGTGGTGGCAACGCTATAGAAACCCAGTGCCTGGAAGTGGACGCAGCGAAGACAGCACCCGCAACGAAATTTGCACCCTGAATCTTGTTCTCTCTCATCCTCGTGTCTCTCTTGTTCGTATATACAGGGTGTTTCAGCTAACTTGATCACCTCGAATAATGACTTAACAGTACACTTTATGAAAATTTTCAGGCATGGAACTTAAATGGAACTCTATCGATCTATGGTACAAAAAATAGGTCATTGCGTTGAAAAAAAAAATCAAGGTGACCTTGAAATCTCTGAAATGCTTCCACCCACAAAAAAAGTATGTACCTTATAAGATGAGCCCCTTGATGCGATTTAAGTTCCACGCCTCAAAATTTTTATAAAGTATAACTTTAAGTCATTATTCGAAATGATTAAGTTAAGTGTTTTGGTACGGATTATAAATTATTACAATAGTGGTAAAATTAACGATAATACTTGTAATAATCATAATAACGATAGTAGCAGCAGTAGTAACGATGGCAATAAGATTACAGTATTAATAATTACATTTAACGTCGTTAACAACGGCGTCGCGCGCAAAAACATGACTTCCGACGTGTGTCTTCTTTCTGTGTCTCTCTCTCTCTGTGTGTATATGTGTGTGTATGTGTATGTATATTTATGTGCATGTGTTTTTCTCCATGAGCGATGGAATATTTCAAGATCATAATTAATTAAGTAATTAATAATAATTATAATAAGGCGACGCCACCCAGGTAAGCTTTTTCAATGCCACTGAGAAAGTCTGGATTGCGTTCGGAAGCCAATTAATAGCACGCATTGCCTCGTGATCCTATTATTACATAACTAGTAATCGAGCATATAATTTTTTTTTGTTCGGTCCTACCGTAAAACATCTTTTTTTTCCTTTCTTTAAATTCTCTTCGGTCACACACGTGCGAAGTATGAGAAACAAGGGGGCCTACACGCTCTGAAATCAGGTCCAGCATACCCGCCGAAGCTCAGTGTGGATAGGGTCAAGAAAATGATTCTTCGGGATTACGAGAATAAATGCGTCTCAAACATATAGTATACATACAGAGCGTGTGTTCCACCTACCTGAAACATTGCTTCGTTTTGCTTTTCTATCTCATTACAGCTTCCACGAGTACGTTCTCAACACAGATGAAAATCATTCAAGGTCATTGACGGTTACACGAACAGGAAACCATAAAAACTTCATAGACGATCTTCCATTACTATACTGTATGCAGAAGAAATGTTTCACTCGATAAGATTAGGTGAGATATATATTCTGTATGTTCGTAGTTCTACCAAGCAAATTTGAGGTTAACAAATACGCAGACGCAGATTTCGCGTGAGGCCTCCTATAGTAGCAATTGAAAATGACTGTACAATCTTACTTGACGATAAACTGTCCACGATCATCGAACTACTGCTTTCTTAACCTTTCGCACCGATTTCTGAACTCAAATTTATTCGGTAGAGCTACATCGTTCGTTCAGAATGAAGGACAAACCCCGAAATAAAGAAACATGGCAGCCTGGCTAGTCACGTGACCTGACTCTTATTGGTCGATTCTTTTTGGGCAGGATCGTGCTTACAATAAGCCTGAGCTTACCAACAATCAACAGCAAACTCTAACCCCCCCCCCCCATCCTTTTAAAATACCGCGCTGAACCTTAGTACCGTCAAATCACTCAAGTTCCGTTGTTCCCTCAATAAAATGCCCAATAATCAAGCAAAATTAGGAAAAAAAAAGATATATTTCGGCGAATACTCCTAGTGGCCATTACATCTGTATCGAAGCCACGTGGTTCTTGTTTACACAGGGTCTATCCTCATTCCTAATTATTATTTAATCATACCAGGCGGTTATTATAATAGAAACGAATTTATTATTATACGACTCACCTCGTGTATATATCAGTTTCGGCGGGTATGCTGTTCCGAATTATATATGTGATTTATTATTCTTATTCGTCACTATCGCATTCTTTCATTCAGGCAGGCGCATGCAAGCATGCGCACACGTCACGCGCAGTACAGACACACACATGAAACACTCCCTCCCTCTCTCGCCCTGTGCTCATTTTTGCCTAATCCTTTCTCTTATTTTTTTTTTTTCCGTCACGGTTTCTTTATATCTGTTCTTCTCTCTGTTTTATTTCGCTTATATTCCGGTTTTCCACGCACATTCTTATCGTCACATACAAACACGCGCAAGATCAATATAATAGCACAAAAATTTTCTCTTTCTCTCTCTCACTCTCTTGTCAGCTCCAATTTGTCGATCAAAGCAGTGTATGTAGTCGAGAGTACGGACAGGCGAACATCTGATAAATGGAGTGAACACGATAGTAAGGCTTAACTTTAATTTGTTAGTAAATCGTAATATCCCGCGCACGCGCTGCTGCATTCTGTGCTCAGACGAAGCCTGTTTTCCACGCAGGTAATGTACTCGAAACGACCGGCTATTATCGCCCGTCACTCGAACTTTATTTATGTATATAATATTTATATAATAATCTCTCTCGCTCTCTCTCTATCTTTCTCTCTCTCAATCTGTCTCTCTGTCCACTTCAAAACGGGTTTACCGTTCTTGTTTCTTTTTTTTTATGTTCTATTACTTCATTTTTTTTATTCGTTTCCTTGAACGATGTGTCTTTCTCGTTTTTCGGAAATTCTTTTACCAAGCTATATCTCCCTACCTCTCTCTTTCTTCTTTCTCTCTCTCTCTTTCTCTTTCTCTCTCTACCGCGATTCTCTCCTGTACAGCTATCATCTATATTGTCACTCCGGCAATAAATGCCCCACGATCATTCCTCCATTATCCGTTTCTGCTATCCTGCATCTCTCTCATTCGTCCACCGCTTATTATTCGCCGTTTCACTTTCTCTGCCTGACATCGGAATCCTTGTTGGGCGTTGGTTTGCTGCGAAACAAAATGGAAACAATCAATTCGGGTTCCCCTATATATAAGCAGCTTGGAAATGTTACAGGTTACGAGTCTCATGAGGACAAGTCATGCGATTGGAGATGATGCAAGGAATCGATACGTGTGGCGCCACTGTCACTGCGATGGCAAGGTTACAGTAGACTCTAGGAAACTTTTTTTTATCTAGATACTAGTTCGCGGAAACAACGAATCCATAGAAGCTAATAATTTACAAAATAATCGATTTACGAGCAATACTAAAATCTTACAGCAAGTAATTTGTTGCTGCATGTTGTAAAAAAAAAAAAAAAAAAAAAAAAAAAAAAAAAAAAAAAAAAAAGATTTCGAGTTCAGGCATCTGCGGTTCTTTCAGCTATTCTTTGCTCCCTTTTCGAGAGACGCCAATAAAGCTGAAGCCGATGGCAAGTCTTCAAGGGGAATGATTTAAAGCGATAACGGGACAGGCTCAATCGCGCCGGGGCAGATGAACGACGGTGTTCTTTGGATAAGGAACGTAACAGGATGGTCCTGTGACCGGGAAACTCTGGCGGTGGCGGTGTTACGGGAGGATCGAGCGGTAGTTCAGATGGCGGAAGGGGTCCGCGAAGTGGAAAATAATATTCCAGTCTGTCGTCTCTTCTACTAGGACCCCTATAGTCGACGCGTGAACTATGGTAACAATCATGTAACAGGTGCCATTTCAGTTGTCACATTAACTCTTAACTGACATTGGATAAATTGAGATATTCTCCATTTATGTCAAATATGGACACTAAAACACATAGTCACGAAAACTGACACCAGTTGAGAGTTAAACAGAACCAAAATCAGATACCGCCATGGACCAGACTGGCGCAGAAAGGACAAAGGGTACCCGTTGGCGTTCATTTTCAGTGACCAAACAAACGATAGAAGTACATACGTGTCGGGACTCTGATCAGTGTCGGATTCCTCGAGTTCAGCCTTGTTTCGTTTCTTCTCGTAGACTAGGATGATGGCGCACAGTACAATCACTTCCGCGCAAATGCCTAGGAACGGCCAGAGCGCGGCGAGCTTGTCTTTGACCCTGAGCAACGATTGGGCCTCTGCGGTATGAGTCTCAGCGGGGTCGGACCAGTTGTATGATACCCTGCAGTAAACGTTGCCACGGTCGTTCATCTCGATATTTTCAACACTCAGCACGGCTCCGTAGATGCCCCTCTCTCGGTCCCGTTCGATCTTAACGCGGCCTTTGCTACGCGTGTAATTCTGGTCCCCGAATGTCCATGATACTTTGATACCGGGACTCTGCTTGCCGGTACACACTAAATGCAGCTTCTCCCCTTCCACCACGCTGATAGACTCGACCAAGTGTGCTGTGGGTCTTGCTGCAATTCGAAACAAGATTCTTAATAACATTTTGATTCTTTCCATCATCTGTGTTATAATTGGATGAAAATCAGTTGACTCGTCGAGATTATTCTTTGGTCTACTCTGAAGCATGGCTAGAGACACTTATACAGTGGACATCTAACGATATTGCCATGGTCGAGACTGTAGTAGCGATGGGCGATATTTATCGAGAACTGTATACAGAGTGTAACAAAAATGTTGTAGGTCCCTGAAATGGGACACTTGTAAGGCGATTTGGAACAAGTTTTTTCTTAGCAAAAATGTTATCCGAGACTTTGTTAACTGCCGGTCGAATTCCCGCGATAGTGTTGGCTACGCGCTGCGATTGGTCACTGTTGTTCACCTGTTTTTTAAAAGGCTATCTATCCTTGTACAACTACATAGACTTAATAGTACTTAACCCTTCGTGACCCCTATTACTTTTTACTACTTCCGTCACCTGGGTCTTTTATGTCCAAACCTATTTTTTCTGGAAAAATTCAGGAGTTCCTAAGGTTTCTACTACATGATCCAATAGTTCTTGTAGTTGAATTTTGAAAGGTTTTTTTTAATAATAATCCCTTTGTTTCAGAGATATTTAAAAGACCCAGAGAGATCACGGAGGGTTAAAAACTAGAATCCTATTGGTTCTAAACTTTTTAAGCAATCTGGACGTATACACTGGAGGATTTCTTAAGTGAAAGATGTAGGATACAAGGTTATAGAGGACCATAACGGGATACTCACGTACGATCCTATACTCTGTGGAGGAATTGTGTCCTTTGCAAGTGTAATTTCCGTAGATGACATCGTTGGCCGAGACGAGCTCCAGCGTGCCAGTTTCGTTGTCCACCTTGAAGTGGTCCTCGCTGCCAGCCAAGGCTGTGTATATCGGAACGTCTTCCTTAAACCAATTCACCTTCGAGCCGGCCGTCTTGTTCGCGCATTCTAGCGTCATAGGCGTGTCCTTCGGGGTAAGTACTTTAATCTTGATATCTGTGGTACAGAAGACGAACGACGTGTTAGCGTGTCAACGGTTGTTTGTCACCTCTCACGTAGCAGGAAGCAATGTACAAGCTCTAACAAGCCGGTAAACATTTCCTACGCACTATTTGGTTTGAATGTCGCGGTATTTTCTTGGTCATGCTTCTGATTCTTTAATGTAACGTTGACTGACACTACTGGTTGTGCAGTAATATGTTACAGATAATGAAAGTAACCGAAATAATAGAATGGATGTATAAATCGTTGAAAAAGTGTTTGAATTTTGTATTATAAAATTCGTCCGATTTTATCGATCAAATTCGATTTTTTTTTTTTTTTGGAGCAACCGAGACACGTTCCTCGAGGAATTACGTAACGTATTTTTTCGAAATTCGTGAAGCGTGTTCAGCACCTTATCTTTAACAAGTCTCTTTATCGAAATCCAGAATGTTATCTTTTGAATGCGTAACAACGGGAATACAGAGAAATCGATATACCATCATGGATAATGTACAAACAATGACATACTTGGGTTTCTGTTTGTCTTTGATAATTGAATTGTAGTTTTATACGGTAACCCTTGTCTAAAACGTTAAGTCTGCATGGAAAATTCGTTTGGTTTCTTAATATCTTAACAAAAGAAGATAAGCATTCATTCACGAATTTGTAAATTAATTTCTATAACGATGTAAATTACTACACGGGACATCTTCTTCTTCCTCCTCTATTTGCGGAAAAATCTATTTCTAGCCGATAAGAACCGCAAGCAAGCAGTAATTCTAACAAGGAACGTCAGACTGTAGACTATAATAGCTGGTTATGTCTCACAAAAAAAGTTTTCTTGTGCGGAAATTCTAACAAAATAAATCGATAAATAAATGCCAACTTATTCTGTTAGTCACAAAAGCGTTTCTAGGACAAGCAAATGTTTCAAGTACTATGCGCACAGAGTACTGTGTCGATGCGTGGTCACATGATCGCGTGGATGTTAATCGCAATTAATTATCACTTAGATTCGTGTAACTGGATAATCGTTGCAGCTGGAGAAACATGCATCATTTGAAGCGACGGTAAATTGTTGTGTGGAATATAGAGAGCGTGTAGTATTCCTTTCCTGTAGTTACACTGATCAACACTAGTAGCGCCACCATAGAAAGCACTGGACACGATTCGACGACCGTTTCATGAGCTGTTGATTCGCTTTTCCCTTGTTCTGATTTTTTTTATTATTATTTATCAGCCGGTTTAGTCCAATTCAGGACTATAAACGGTTATTCTGACTATTAGCCCCGAAAATTACATACAACGAAATGAACAGAACGCGTTCATATAGAGGGTGAACCAAGCAAATATATTATCTGTAACGTCATCTGAACGAGGTCTTAACATAAAGATTCATCACGGCTATTTCAAGATACGGATCATCATGCGGGGTACACAAACATTGCCAAGCATACAACGAATAAAGCAAACATGCAAAATATACCAGGTCGTTTCATAAATCGTTCCGTCTAAATGCTTCCGACTAATTTCCATCCTTGAACTAAGTAAACTATGCCGCACATTATTTCCAGAACATACTGCCGTTTAACCTATGCAGGCCATCTAAATGGCCAAGTGAAGCAAGTCCATTCTTATAATTACGTAAAACATCAATTCCATATATCAGTATCTATATAATTGTTGTGTATTTTTCGCAACTGCTCAAGATTATAGACTTACGTCACTGACCAGTTGGAGGCTGATACAAAAGCAATCAGTGTACGTATTTTGAGTTTCGTTCAAATAGTCCAATTGCTTAAATAAACCTTCCCGAAACGAAACTGCGTACACTTTTATTTGATCCACTCGATTTGGAAAACAATCGAGGTGTAGGTTACATGTGACGATTAACCTCACCGCCATGTTTGCAAAATATGACCGCCTGCAAACCGTCTGATTCTCCAAAAACGAATTAGTAAAACGTTCCCTGGCACATAGGTCATGCGATTCGTTCGATTTCCATGAAGTTCGCAAGCTTTTTTACACTCAGTACACCGATGAAATGACCTGGCGGGATCGAACATGGCCGACACGGTACTCGGCATACAAACCAAAGTATATCCATAGATGAAAGACATCGCTGCTGTCCGGGGTACATTTGTAGTCCCCGTCGTGGCTATCGGTGGCGTACTTCGCCCGAAGTGTACTGCTTCCGTTGGCCACGTGCGAGTCGACGACCAACTGACCGCTGGCCAACTCCGGCTCGAGCGACTGCCCGTTTCTGGTCCATCTGATCAGATCGTCCGGCTTCAGGCCACTGCACTCGATCCTCCAAGGTTGGCCCTCGTGCACGACCGACGCTCCCGTGTAAGTTACTTTATCGGGAAGAACATACGAACACACGTCAAGAGGCATAACCATTGGAGAATAGAGGATCTCCTAATGCGGGCATCTGGTTTTCATGTGGACGAGTTTGTACTGAGTGCTAGAGCATGCAGATGTGATGTGCGATACAGTATCGGTATTTCGAATATCGATACTTTCCCATTCAAAGATCGATATTCAATTTAACGATACTTTTCAATTCAAATATCGATATTTAATGTAACGATATATTCCAGTATCGATACTTAAGCAATAAATATCGAAATTTCGATACAATCGCTATATTTGTCGTAACATAACAGATCGTAAGGAAAATAGACCAATCGCGAGATTCCTACAAAGATTGCGATTCATCGATTTCTTTTCTACACTGTTACTTGAGAATTTGCCTTAGGCAGTATCTATTTAAATAAATGATTTACATTCAATAATATCGATATTTGATTCCCGATATACAAGTGTATCTATACAATGGATATCAAATTGTATCGATACAATTCAAATGTATCGCCATCACTAGCAGGTAGGTGTCCCCGAACCCAATAGTTCGTAAAACATGCACAGCGGCGCCACTGAACGCGGTGGAATATTTCAAATTTTCGTGGGAAACAAAACTGCCACTTGGTACCAGTTGTCTCAAGCCAGCAGTTTGTAATGTAGAAAATCGTGAATTTACATTACAAGACAAGAAAGTGTAGGAACCACTATCCTATCCTAGAGTTGGTTAGATCTGTTTGTGTAATGTCTTTTAAAATGTTAGCCTTCACCTATTAAATGCTATTACTATTTTTTTCAAGAATTTCTCCAGCAATTTGTGTCAGATTTGCCATGCCGAGATAACTCGGCATACGCGTTCAACGGGTTTAGAAAAGAGTAAATATACCGATCTTCGTAAGTAAACATTTTCTCCGCGATATTGATATACACATGATTTATGAGAGTGTCGGTATGCTTCATAAAAACGTGTGTATTCAAAGGTAAAAAATAGACCTCATTTCCGGAGTGTATACGTGAGATGTTCTAAACTCTAAACAATGGGAATTATAAATCGATACACGTAATATCGTTTACCGTTATTTAGTAACATCGTCGGAAAGTTCGCTGAAAAATTCTTCAAGTTTCCTCCCGAGTGCATTGAACGCTACATGATTACGCTATAAATACAGCGGAAAGAAGTTTTTGCGCGATTAGAACGGGGTTCTTCAATCTTATATGCTACTGCCTGTGTGCATCATTAATATTAATGTAAATGTTGCATATAAAAAAACTATGTATCGTGATTAGAATATTAAACAGAACTTTATGAAAATTTCGTCCAAGTTCATTTTACTGGTGGGGTCCAGAACCTAACCTCTTTGGTTCTCGGCAAAGTTGAGAACACCTTTCCTAGTGAACGGTAAGCAAATACCACAAAATGTTTCTAAGTTTTTCACCCATCTTTTTACAATAACGGTGAATAATTAGCAATTAATATTTAAGACGTTGTTTACACACATCGTACCCTACATTACAACGCAGTTCTAATCGTAAACTTTCTTCGTTACAACGACCACATTTGGAACACCTAGAATTTATATATTGTTTCTATGGATCAACAAATGCTTGGTCAAAATAGACCTACTAGGCACGTGTAACCGGAGGGGTTAAGCTTCGAAAACCGGCCGACGCCAAAAAGTCAATCACGAAACCCCCGAGAGACGCCACGGTGGCGGCGACAGCGACGGGGAGGAACACGTTAATCCGGTTTCGCGGCGGCAAGAACACACCCGATTGTACTTATTTTTAGCGATTTATTCTTTTACAACCCCGTCGTCCTCGTGAACACCAACTCGACCAGATGAAATTATAATGCATGCTGGGGCCTGGAGAGGTGAAGCGGTGGAGGGGAGGGGAGGGGCAGAAAGGGACTGGACTGATAACCACGAGAGAACACATCGGGGCTGACCTATAAAGTGCTGCCGGCACTCTGGCTTCTGCCTTACCCATGCCTGCCGCGATTTAAGAATACACACGGGCGAAGATATAGTGATCGATGTTTATTTGGACATTCAATATTGACTTAATGCGATTTCGCGAGGGTAGAGTGGGGAGTTCGACGAGGGCAGAGAAGGATGAGTCGGGTATAAATCGATTTCGATCGTCTGTTTTTAGACCGAAATCGATCATCCAGATACAACATACGAAATGGGTCGATACGTCGGTGTTGTATGTACATATATTTGAATTTCTAATATCGTAAATGTTTCATGGAGATGTTTGTGGGATCCTGAGCGCTGTCTCCTTTTGTACACAACCGGGGAACCACAGCGATCCCCGTAACAACTTCCACGTCAGAAGTTTGCAAATGAATGGCCACAGAGATAAAGAGGGGGAACAATAGGGGAGGGCCGCTTCCTCTGTTTAGGGCGCGATTTACGAACAGTTGGAACTGTATACCCTAGAACGCGAAGTAGGATGGAAACGTGATCGATAACCGTGGAACACGTGCCGCGTGACCTCTAAACATCGGAAGGGCCTACATATTGAATCCGTGTTATTCTACAAGGTGAACCGGCGTAACTTGATCCGTACAGTTTGTCATTTGAATTATATATGATGTATAAAATAATCTATATGTAATTATTTACAAATGTACAAATTTGTATACCATTAAGATTTTCAGTAAGTCAGTAAATGACTGTAGATAATAAAATATTAGTAAAAAGTAAATTGAATGTCTTCTGTATTTCGAGAAGTGTCTGCCTGAAACCAAACCGAACGGAATCGAACCGAACTGTAACGTATGCTGCCCCTTTGGAACTTTTCGACGAGGAGCACAAAGATTTTCGAGCATTTCTATGCAGAAATACATAGAGCGATGGAGGACACGGGAATTGGAACGCCCGTGATCTAGGACGCAATTTGGCAAGTTGGTATTGCACGTACATGCGAAGCGGAGAGCGCGTAGCTAAGAGCGCCAATGCTCGTAAACACGTTCCTTTACCCTAACGATGCCAAAGGTCGAAATATTCCCCCCTGTCGCGCGCGACTCTACCGTCGAACCGCGAAACTCGTCGCACCGCAAGTGTAATATCAGGGGAGCCACAGACAAGGAAAAAAATGGCGAAATACTTTATTATCTTTCATTCGTTATTCGAAAGTCTAGATAATGAATTTGACCATCTGCGTTTTCTATGGCCTTACACACTTAAAGTGGTCTAAATATATTTTTCATTTTGAGAGTTAGATTTTCCGCGATTCCCAACCCTTTTTAAAATAACTCCACATTTTTACGATACATGTGTCGATGCAGCGTAATACGAGCGACACCGTTAAAACGCGATAAATTACTGACTTTAGGCCGTTTTCATACTCATAGCGTATCTTGTCCACTAACTATACCTCATTACGTGGATACCTCCAGGGATGTAGCTCCTTCGATGTTCACCAGGCGAACACCAGGCGGGCATATGAACGTTCAAAATTAACTGACCGACGACGACGAGGTGTCTCCGCTACAGTTACAATCCGCACACGCCCGCCATCGCACGTTCTCCCTTCTTCGCGCGATCGATTCGACCGTATTATTAATTTGCTCCGCAGAGGCTCGCGAGGCAAACGAGCTTACGATGGAAACGAATTTCAAATACGGGTCACATAAATGCCGGTCACTGCACCGGCTGATAAACTAATCGCGGCCGCCGAGAGGTGGGCGGAACCAATCGCTACGCGGCTTTTCCAATAGGAATACGTTGCAATTTTTCTGCCCCAATAAACCCGATGAACAGATGTAATTACTCGAGAAAAGCGACCAATAACATTCGCCCCAGACAAGTATGCCCGCGGGCGCACCTCGTGGCGCGTGAAAAAAACTCACACACGGTCTGGGAACGAACTGTTGGTACAGCAGAACACGACAGATGCGTCATTGGGAAAGAAATCGGTTGACAATCTGGAATACAATTTTTACAAGTGTGCCTCTGTTTTCGAGAAAAACAATTATGAATGTTCTTCGTGTGTACACGTACTGCTGAACAAATTCCATTACATATTCAATGCACAAGGGCACGCGGCGAGCTCTGGATTAATTTTTAAATTCCATTTTCTTGAAATAAAGGCACGTACAAAACATTCGTTTTGTCTTTTCGACGTAGCCTTTTACGAAAAATACTCCCAGGTCGGTTGTTCTACATGTTTATTCTCACTCTAGATTCGCTGACTCAAAATATTTTCGATTCTCAGTATTTTCTTGCAACGTGAACATAGTTGGCAACCCTGTTACCGTTCTACACGTGTGTCTCGAGTACCTTATTTTGTACGTCAAATGTTGTTTCCCTGTTTTAGATACTATCAGGAGTAAAGAAAAACAAACAGCGCTTGAAATCCGATAGTCCAGAACAGTGGTAAATACAGCGTAGCTAGAAACGGAAACCGAACATTAAAGATGAACGCATTTGGAACTGCTCGACCTACTGGGTGGTCAATATTATTACGATTATTCATTATACGCACTGCAGACAATGCGATCGAATGGTGGCCAGCCTGTCATCACTGATAAAATATCAGAAGAAACGGGGAAATGAAATACGCAACCGATAACAGCGTACAAAGTTTTACCCAGATAAATAACTTAATCCTCGATTCACGCCATGTTGGGTCTTTTAGTACATCGGGAAGATATTCAACGAAATTTTAATCTTCCTAATTTCCCTGTCATATAAATTGCATTGGCGAGTAAAAAATATCTCTGTGTAACACAGATCCATTATTCTTTCACAAAGGTCGCGTTTTCATATTTAACTCGATCGTTTCGTTGACGTAACGATACCACGCCAGCGCCTCTGGATACGCGATATCCAATTTCATCCCAGGGAATTCTGGAAATATTACGTGATGCCTCATTAAGTATCACGTGATATTTAACAGGCCCAAATGACACCTACAGACGGGCGGAAGTTCAAAAACCGATGAAATTCACGAAACGAGTTTTTTTTTTCGACTAATTCGATAC